GGGGTCGATTCCTGGTCAGGGTCAGGGCATACACCTAGGTTTCGGGTTCTATCCCTGGTCAGGGCGAGTATGGGAGGCAACCAATCGATGTTTCTTATGTCAGTGTTTCTCTCTCTCTCCCTCTCTCCCCCGCCCTTCTTCTCTAAAAATGCAATAAAAAGATATCCTTGGGTGAGAATTAAAAGTTTCATTACAGAAAATGTCAAACATATACAAAATGGTCAGAATGATTAATGAACCCCCATGTACCTATCACCCAGCTTCAACAATTATCAGCTCATGGTTTCATGGCTCATCTTCTTTCATCTATATCCTTACTCAATTCCCTTTCCTCCCATATTATTTTAAGCAAATTTCATACATCATATAATTTTATCTATAAATAAGTACTAGTATATATCTCTAACAGATGACTTTTTAAAAATATATATATATTATTTTATTGATTTTTTACATGGAGGAAGGGAGAGAGATAGAGAATTAGAAGCATTGATGAGAGAGGAGAAACACTGAGAGAGAAACATCGATCAGCTGCCTCCTGCACACCTCCTACTGGGGATGTGCCCGCAACCCAGGTACATGCCCTTGCCCGGAATCGAACCTGGGACCCTTCAGTCCACAGGCCGACGCTCTATCCACTGAGTGAGCCAAGCCGGTTTCGGCAGTTGCCTTTCTTTGATTTTAAAATGTATATTTAAATTTCCTATGCTTTCGTTTTTACTTCTAAATTACTTACTCTGGATTTTATTGCATAGAAGTCATAGGACATGGCCTATAGGATATTGATTCTTTGGTAATGGATGCATCTTGCTTTGTGGTTTACTGAGGGGTCAATGTTTGGAAAAATTCCATGAATTCCTAAAAAGAATGCATATTCTACCCAGCCGGTGTGGCTCAGTAGTTGAACATAGATTTATGAACCAGGAAGTCATAATTGGATTCCCAGTCAGGGCACATGCCTAGGTTGTGGGCTGGATCCCCAGTAGCGGGCATGCAGGAGGCAGTGATTAATGATTCTCTCTCATCGTTGATGTTTCTCTCTCTCCCTCTCCCTTCCTCTTTAAATATATATATATTTTTAAATGCATATTTTTAAATTGTTGGACACATATGTATGGCCACATGTTCACCTCTCCCTGCCTCATACCTGTCGACCTGTCTTTTGTTTGTTTGTTTGTTAATCCTCACTCAAGGCTATTCTTTCATTGATTCTCAGGGAGAGTGGAAGAGAGAGGGAAAGACAGGGAGAAACACTGATGTGAGAGAAACACATTGATTGGTTGCCTCCTGCCTGAGCCCTGACTAGGGCCCAGGTCGGGGAGGAGCCTGCAACCAAGGCACGTGCTCTTGACCGGAATCGAATCCAGGACCCTTTGGTCCTCAGGCCGTTGCTCTATCTACTGAGCCAAGCCAGCTAGGGCCACACCTGTCATTTTTAATGGCTACCAATTTGCTTAGCTCTTCCTGTGTTTTGACCATTTGTTCTATTTCCATGTTGTCACTGATTCTAAAACTTTAAATCTAAGTTTTGAATACGGTTAACAACCTGTATCCATTAGCTTTTGATGCACACACACACTCCCCCCGCAATGTAGCATCTTACAATTCTGCAGGTGGACAATTTGGGTTGGGATCAGCTAGGAGGTTCTTCTGGTCTTGGCTGGACCCACTCGTGCAACTCAATCAGCTGTGGGGTTGGCAGAAGCTGGCTGTCTAGAGTGGCTCTAACTGGCTCCTCTCCGCCCTCGGAGGTCTTTCAGCCTCCAGGAGGCTTGCTCATGTGGTGGCTTGAGCACGGTGTTATGAGAGTGAGTAGAAATTGCAGGGTCCCCTGAGGCCTAGGTTCAAAACTGGCTCAATATCACCTCTGCTGCAAGCCACAGAGTGTGGGAAAGAGAGTCCTTCTCTCGATACAAAGAACTGCAAAGCCACATTTAAAAGGGAGCTGGAGCGAGAAGTGCAGCCGTTTTTGCAATCTGTCACAAGGTTTTCATGTCCAAGTCTTTCTGTAGCATCTCTCCTGCCCCCATCCACAATCTCCCCTCCTTTCAGGTGTCTGCCTGCCCTCACCCTCCACTCCCCCGAACACCCACACAGCCTTCCTAGACTATTCCCACCCATCTGTACAGCCCTGCGCGTCCCAGCTGCTACTCTTGAGGCCCCCAGGAAGGTGAGGGAGCTGCCTGCCTGCCTCGTTTGGGGCCAGAGCTATGTTCTCCCTCCCAGGTGAGCATCCCCTGTGCTGGTGGCTCCAGTCTGGGGGTGGCCTAATCGGACTTCTGAGTCACTGTGTCTCCCACAGCTCGTGTGGGCCACCTCGAGCCAGCTGGGCTGTGGGCAACATCCCTGCTCTGGGGAGCAGGCCGAGATGGAAGCCTTTGTCTGTGCCTACTCTCCTGGGTAAGCCTCCGCCACTCCTGGGCTGTCAGCTGGGGTGAGGATACTTTCCCCCTGGGAGAGGCGTCTACCCACTCACCCAAAAGGCCTTTACCTCTAGATCTCCACCCTGTGGGAGAGGGAAGAAGGGGTAAGGGATTGGGTGCAGAGGTGGCAGCACCCATGGTCCTGGCCATGCAGGATGTGGAGTCCCCTCGAATGCCTCCTCCTGGAAGCACTCCCTGCTTGCAGTTTTCCCAGGATTCGTTGGGAGGTCCTCTTTTCTTTACTAGGGAATCTCCCCGTCTCACCCAGCTCCCCGACCCCCTGGCTGAGCTGAGGGGCGGATGGGGCAGGCAGATGGCCAGGTCCTTCCAGCTCTCTCTGGTGCTTGCTCTCACAGAGGCAATTGGGAGGTCAACGGGCAGACAATCGTCCCCTATAAGAAGGGCGCCTGGTGCTCGCTCTGCAAGGCCAGCGTCTCGGGCTGCTTCAAAGCCTGGGACCATGCAGGGGGGCTCTGTGGTAAGTGTCCCTGTACCTGCTTCCTCCTGTGGGAGCGGGTATTGGAGAGCTTGATGGGTGATTAGAGGAAGTGGCAGCGTCCTGAGGGGCTGTCCCAGAAGCCGGGGCCCAGCACCCAGGAGGCACCTACCTAGAGGAAGCCCTTTTCAGAGGTCCCTCCTTATCTGACCAGAGGTCCCCAAGAACCCATGTCGCATGAGCTGCCGGAACGGCGGACATCTCAACGTCAGCACCTGCCACTGCCACTGTCCCCGCGGCAACACGGGCAGGTTCTGCCAAGGTGAGGAGCCCTGGAGCTGCAGACCACAGCGGCCTGAGGGACCCAGCGAGGGGAGTCTAGGCCCAGCACACACGCAGGCAGCCCCTGGGGGTGAGGAGGGGCTGAGCCCAATGCATGTGGGTGCATGCGTGCACACAGACGCTGTGTGGTGCGTCCAGGGGCTGTGTTGCTCTCAATGAATGCGTTTTGAGGGAGTATCAAGTGTGCCAGGGGGGTGCTTGCTGATCTGAGCACTGCATATCGTCATTCAGCAAGCATCCATTGAGCACCAACTGTTTGCAAGACCCTGAGCTGCGCAGGGGGTTCAAAACAGAATCAGGAGTGGCCGCATACATCCTGAGGTGGTGGAAGACAGGATTAGGATTCAGAAGTGGATTTCTCTCCCATTGTCTCCCGCCCCAGCTTGGTGACCACGGGCAGGTCACTTCCCCAACCCAGTCTGGGGGTGGCCTAATTTGCTTCTCTCTGCACGATCAAACCAAAGATGCCAAGAGGGGCAGCAGTTGGGAGCCCTGTGGCTTCCGTCCCTGAGTCCCCGAGAGGTGATCTCTCTGTGGTTGGCCAGTCTCTGCGTGTCCGCAGCCTGGCCTGTGACGGGCAGCATGGGGTCCAGGCTTATGGCTGAGCGCAGTCCCCACCCGCCCCGTCCTGCAGTGCGGTGCAGCATGCAGTGCGTGCATGGCCGGTTCCGGGAAGAGGAGTGCTCCTGCGTCTGTGACGTCGGCTATGGGGGAGCCCAATGTGCCAGTGAGTCCTGACCCAAGGCTCCCAACAAGCCGGGCCCTCCCAGGATCCCCTCGATAGGATCTGGGCCACCTCACAATTGCCTGTTGCACACATCTCTTCCCAGTTCCATGTTCGGTGATATTGGTAGCTTGAAATGGGCCATGGTATGGGCATTTACACCATGGGAAGTCCATAATGCTACAAACCATAGATAGATTGATTGATTGATTTTTTGAGGCAGAAAGCTGGCTGTTACACATTTACCAGCACACCACTGACCCCACCCACTCTCCGGTGGGTGGTACCTTGAGCTCAGCCCCCTGGCAGGGTGGGAGGGGTGACGATTTTGATGAGAGATGCTTACACACAAACTCCCGCTCCCTCTCCCCAGCCAAGGTGCACTTTCCCTTCCACACCTGTGACCTGAGGATCGATGGCGACTGCTTCATGGTGTCTTCAGAGGCAGACACCTATTACGGAGCCAAGATGAAATGCCAGGTGACAGCTGACCCCTGCCTTCCTGGGAAGCCCCTCCCCTCTAGGGTCTCAAGGACGAAGGAGGGATCCTGGACTAAGAGATGGTTCCTTCAAACACTTCTCATCATTAGCATAAAGCAGGGGTCCACTCAGAGGCCCACGGAAACCAAGAGGTCACGTCCTGAGCTGAGGGACCAGGAACGAGGCCCCCGCCCAACCCCCATCTAAGGAGCTGTCCTGACTCAGCTCCAGCTGCTGGCTGCCAACAGGGATACGAGTCGGGGAGGCCAGAACTCGGGATTTTTCAGAACCAGAAATCCAGATTTTCATTGGCATCTCTAGACTTATTAATGTTGGCGGCCAACTCAAATGTGTGTAAGGCACTGAGCCAGTAAACCAAAAGCCTTCCAGGGGCAGGACCCTGCCAGGCTGGGCCCCCCGCACAGGCAGGGGAGAGGGAGGGGGACCCCGCGTCTAAGAGGCAGGAGGCTGTGGGGTGGGGGACGACGCCAGCACAGCCAGCACACGTACTGTCATTCTGTCATTCATGGCTGCGGTGGGGTGGCAGGAAGGGCTGCCTGAACTTTGGGTCCCTGCCGGCGTGACCCAGAGTGGGGGTTACAGGGAAAGGGCGGGGTCCTCGCCCAGATCGAGAGCCAGAAAGTACAGGACATCCTCGCCTTCTACCTGGGCCGCCTGGAGACCACCAACGAGGTGACTGACAGTGACTTCGAGACCAGGAACTTCTGGATCGGTGAGTGTGGGGGCTGGGATGCCCCCAGGAATCTGGGCCGTGGAAACCAGAGCACCCACCAGCAAACAGTCAGGCTGGGGTGAAGGCTTGGAGCCCAGTGGGGCCTGCAGTCAGGCTGGCTCCCCCTGCCCCGGGGAGAGAGTGGCAGTGAGAGAGAACCCCCAGGGGAGCGTGAGGGCTGAGGAGGGGCTGAAGGGCAGGGACCAGGCAGGCCTGAGGCAGCAGGCTGAGGCTCCGGCGCTCCTTTCTTGGGTCGTGGGGCCAACCTTGACCGCCCGGCCCAGGGCTCACCTACAAGACCGCTAAGGACACCTTCCGCTGGAACACCGGGGAACACCAGTCCTTCACCAGCTTTGCCTTTGGGCAGCCTGACAACCAGGGGTGAGTCTGGGGTGCCCTCCCTGCCTGGGCCCACCTTCTCCCCTGGGCCAAGCCTTGAGATGCCATTGAAGAGCCTCCCCCAGCCGGCTGCCTGGCCAAGCCCTCTGAGGGTCTGAGCCTCCCCTGCTACCCGGGTGCCCAGGAGGTCAGGGCACAGCTGGGTGTGGGCATGGTGCTGAGATGAGGCATGCTCCAGGGAACCCAAGAAGGCTTTATCCGTCCACCATCCCCATGGTCCCTCCATCTATTGTCCGTTCCCCCTCCCCAGCCCTGTATCGGTAGCAATACACTGAATCCCGGACTCTGTAGCCATCCACCCGCCTGCATCCATTCACACAACATCCACCCACCAGCCAGCCTGTACGGAGGGCCTTCTGGTTACATGGCCCTGCCCTGGTCTTCAGAGCCTAGGAATGCCCAGGGCGGGGTGACAGGGGTGGAGGTGGTCAGGCTGTGTGGCCACCCAGGGCTCCAATTCTCTCACCCAGCTCCCCCTCGACCTCCTTGAGGGCAGCCAGGCCTATGCCCCTGGCCCATCAGGAAGGCAGCCTGGTTGGGCTCCCAGGCACACGCTCCCTCCCGGGAGGGAGGGCCTGCCTGTTCCAGGTCCGCTCCCCACCCCGTTGGCCGGCGTGGCCGGTGTGGCTGAGTGCCGGCAGTGGGTAGGTGGAGTTGCTGCCCCAGGCAGGCGGTGGGCCAGAACCTTCCAGCTCCCCTGAGAAGCGCTGCAGTGGTCGGGGGCAGGGATGGGAGCTTGGGTTGGTCTGGCTCCCAGAAGCCCTATCTACAGGCCAGAGGCACCGAGGCCTCTTACATGCAGGTGGCCTGTGGGGGAGGAGGATCTGAAACTCCCAGACTCCTAACATCCCACCTGAGCACCCGACATCTTGGCCCGGCAGGTTTGGCAACTGCGTGGAGCTGCAGGCCTCGGCCGCCTTCAACTGGAACGACCAACGCTGTAAAACCCGAAACCGCTACATCTGCCAGTTTGGTGAGGGCCCTCCCGGCTCCCCTCCCATGGTGCCTGTCCCCAGGGGTGGCTGCTGGCCTGATCCAAGCGCCTGGATACGCAGATTGCAGGCCTAGAGAGCGTCTGAGCTCACAGGGCCTTGGAGGACGCCCAGCAGGGAAAGTGGACCAGCCTCACATCGCACGTCCACCCGCGGCAGGACCAAGTGCAGCCTGGCGGGGGTTTCTCCATGGTCCCGTCCTCCTGTCACTAAAGCTGCTATTCGGGGGGCCTGTCGGGTTCCTCGATGTTACCTGATTCTCTAGAACCCAGTGATGGGGGGCAGAGGTGAAACCAAGCCCAGAATTGGCTCCCAGCAGCGCCTGCTGGGAGGGTCCTGAGCTACACAGGGGACCACGGCCCTGGGTGCTTCTGGACCCGGTGCAGTGGGTCCCCATCCCAAGGTGCCCTGGGCTGCCAGGGACCCTCGCTCTGTTCTGCTTCCTTCCCAGCTCAGGAGCACATTTCCCGGTGGGACCCAGGGCCCTGAGACGCAGCCAGGCCTCTCCCCTGCCACTGCCTGGAGGCGCACCAGCCCTGCCTGCCTGCCTGCCCATCGGTCCGGAACCCGAGCCAGGCCAGGACCTCAAGCCCAAAGAGGTCTCAGACCTTGCGGGAAGTGGGGCAGGCCCAACAGGAGGCCTGGCATAGGGGGAGGGGCCCCTCAGCCTGCTTTTGATTGGGGAGATGGGCCTTAATTAGGTGCTGAAACCGGAGCAAGGCCAGGGGTCAGATGTGTGGTGGTGGGGCGGGGGGGGGGGGGGGGGGGGGGGGTCCCTGGGAGACCAGAGAGCCGGAGGCTCCACTGCCGCTGCCTCCTGCCGGCCGAGTCCCTTCCCTGCTCACCCGAGTGATGTCCTCAGGCTCTTAGCCCCTGCATAACGCACAGATCTAGAAGGCTCATGCGTGTGCCTCATGTCCTGCTCCAGCTCCTCTCGTCACGCCTCTGTGGCTTTGGGTGTCGATCACACCCTCTCCCTTTATTCTCTTTGCAACTCCACGTGTATCTTTTTTCTTTGTGATTATCTACACCGGGGTCTCTGTCGCCCTCCTCTCCCCGCAGTGGTGCCAAGACCCACGCAGGCGCTGTCGTTCGGGTCCGGAATGTGCCACGGCCCCCGGGCACACCTGCCCCGGGCCCCGTGGGG